GGAGGAATAGGGGGATATTGAGGAGGAGGATGAGGAGGAATAGGGGGATATTAAGGAGGAGGATGAGGAGGAAGAGGGGGATATTGAGGAGGAGGATGAGGAGGAATAGGGGGATATTTATGAGGAGGATGAGAAGGAGAGGAGGAGATTGAGGAGGAGGATGAGGAGGAATAGGGGAGAAAGGGAATGATACTAACGGGGGAGAGGAAGAGCTATAAGCGGATGAGGTAGAAGAGGAAGAAAATGGGGGAGCAGGAGGGAGGTGGTGAGGAGAAGGGAGGGCTGAGGAAGGGAAGGGGAGGTTAAAGTGGAGGGACAGCGGGAGAAGGAGGAGGAGGGGAGGCAAGAGGAGGAGGAGGGAGGGCTGAGGAGGAGGGAAGGCGATGAGGAGGAGGGAGGGCTGAGGAAGGGGAGGTAGAAGAGGAGGAACAGCGGGAAGAGGAGGAGGAAAAGGGAGGAAGAGAGAAGGCCGAGGAGGAGGGGAGGCGATGAGGAGGAGGGATGGCTGAGAAAGGGGGAGGTAGAAGAGGAGGAACAGCGGGAAGAGGAGGAGGAGGAGGAGGGAAGGCAAGGGAGGAAGAGGGTGGATTGGGGAGGGGAGTGGGAGGAGGGAAGGCGGTAAGGAGGAGGGGAGGTGGTGAGGAGGAGGGAGGGCGGTGAGGAGGGGAGGCGGTGAGGGGGAGGGGAGGCGGTGAGGAGGAGGGAGGGCTGAGAAAGGGGGAGGTAGAAGAGGAGGAACAGCGGGAAGAGGAGGAGAAGGGGAGGCAAGGGAGGAAGATGGTGGATTGGGGAGGGGAGTGGGAAGAGGGAAGGCGGTGAGGAGGAGGGGAGGCGGTGGGGGGGAGGGGAGGCGGTGAGGAGGAGGGAGGGCTGAGAAAGGGGGAGGTAGAAGAGGAGGAACAGTGGGAAGAAGAGGAGGAGGGGAGGCAAGGGAGGAAGAGGAAGGATTGGGGAGGGGAATAGAAGGAGGGAGAGCAGTAGGAGGAAGAGCTCACTAGCGATTTTTTTTTTTAATTCCACACAGCCTTGCCCGCTTTATCGGATTCGTCGAAGCTGACGAAAACATCTTGTCCAGGCGAGTTCAGCAAGCAAAGCACCTTGCCGACATCCTTTAATTGTAAGATGGTGCGACTGCCCGATGGCACCATGTTGCAGACCGTCCCAAAACTCTTCTCTACCCCTGCGATCTTCGCTGGAAAAATTCCTGGCCAACACATAATATGCAGAATCCCGGGTAAATCTTATGCTTCCTTGGTTTCATTTTTGTTATAAAATATCAAATCCCTTAAAAAAAACTTATCAATCAATAATAGTACAGATCATACATTTTTAATTAACATTATAAATATCCGATCCCACTATCATTAAAACTACTAACAATACTATACGAATACTACTAGAGGTCTACCACCACTACTACCAGTGGCGTAGGCAGGTTTGTACACCTGGGGGGATGACTCAGGGGTGGATCTAGCTTTTTGCTAAGGGGGGGTTGACCAATAATGACGATGCGGAGCATCGTCCACGAGCCGCGAAGCGGCGAACCGATTTTTTGGGGGGTGTTTATTTGAACCCCGTAAGTGATGTTTTCCTGGCATCTAGTAACACAATGGAGACCATAAAAAGCAGTGCATGATAACGTCTTTTTAAATCAAGTAACAGTTAAATACACAGTTATATCCAGAGTTATCATGTGTTTGGTTAAGTTACCAGATGAGTTGAATATCTTCTCACAATATTTGCACTTGAAAGGGTTTCTCTCCCGCGTGCGTTCTTTTTTCTTTCTTTTATTCTTTTTTTTTTCTTTTTCCCCCCTTTTTTTGTTGTTTGTTTTTTGGGCCGCCAAAGGGGGGGGGGTTAAACCCCCTAACCCCCCCCCCCCCCCCCCCCGTAGATCCGCGCCTGTTTAATATTGTGGTTATCTTGTGGTTTCCAAACCACAAGATAACCACAAAATACTTGTAAGATTTTCTTTTTTTTACCGTCTGAATTGGCTTTCACCGTGTGAATGCGGCTAATAACAATAAACACAATTACAATAATGATGAGGATTATTATTATCATCATCATAATTATTATTATTATTAATATTATAATTGTTATCATTATTATTATTACTATTATTATCATCATTATGACTTATTAAGTAAGCAAATATCATTCCCCAAAACCTGGGGGGATGATTGTACATGCCATCCCCCCCCCCCCCACCTTGTGAGGTGGGGGGATGCATCCCCCTCATCCCCCCGTTGTCTACGCCCCTGACTACTACAACTACTACGACTACTACTACTACTAATTGTTTACTACTACTACTACCACTACTATTACTACTACCACTGCAACTACTACTACTTCTACTACTACTTTTACTACTACTACTACTACTACTACTACTACTACTACTACACTGCAAAAACCAGGGTGTTAAATTTCTAACACCAGTATGGTATTGAATTTTTTTGACACCATTGGTGTTATTTTTAACACCGGTGAGATTTAAGCATGCATTACTAATTACTTGGTGTTAAGTAACATGGTGTTGTTTTATGCTCGGTGTTGAAAGTATCATCACGTGATTTCGTTTAAGGTGGTTGATTGGTCGAATAAGTTTTCACAAAGTGTACGCGCGCTTAATGATTACTTTACACGTGTTTTACAGAAGAATACATTTATCATGATTTGTTAAGCAAATTATGACAATGCACATCAATTTTGTGATTTGCATTTTCCTTTGGCAATTATTGACCAATAGATTATTTGTCCGATCTTGTTACAATAACATTAACGTATTATCAATAGATATATTGATTATAAGATTACTAACCAAGAAACAACATGCACATTTATTATATATTCTTGTACCATCCTGTATCATTTAAATGTTAATCTTGAAATTACTTCAAATGATCTATGTGATGAAGTAAATGCAAAAGAGATTAGAATATACCTATTGGTGGACAGTTGCCAACATCGATTATGAATTATCAGTTTACCATTGGTTCTTCTACCCTGGTCGATAATAGGAAATATGGAATGTGGGACCATTGGATCAACAAGAATATAAACACCAAAAGTGAATTTGAATTTGTTATGATTCCAGATATTGCTGTTAATCTACACCAGTAGGAGTTGTCAATTATTACCACCAAGAGTGGAATTGAATTTGTTATGATTCCAGATATTGATGTAAATCTACACCAGTAGGAGTTGTCAAATATTAACACCAAAAGTGAATTTGAAATTATCTAATTCCAGAAAATGGTGTTAAGTAACACCAGAGGAGTTGTCCGATATAGATACCAAGAAAGTGTTAATTTTAACACTCTGGCTTTGCAGTGTACAACTACTACTACTACTTCGACTTCTACGACTTCTACTACTACTACTACTATTTAAAATTCCTCTCTAGATGTTTAGTAAAATCTATCGAAAATAATGAAAGGAACATCAAATTATCTAGCATCACAATATATTCTGATGCGAGACGAGCAACAGTATTTGTGATTTAGTATTCACCAAATAATATTCTCGTTTTCCCCTTCGCTATCAAGTACCAGAATTTGAAAACAGTGTAAAATAATTATCGTTTTCTCACTTGAATTAAGGCCTAAATGGATGGGCTTAAGTAATTGTTAAGTGCTAGAAAAACCAGTGGCAAACTTCGCGGTCTCGGTTCCAAATAATTTCTTCATTTTTAGGCCGCTTTTTCTATATCACGATTTATTTTATTACAGTACAGGTATGTAGGAAGATTTTAAAAAGGCCAAGGCTGTACGACACTTGTTTCTGACGAAAATTGCTCCACGTTAATTTCTATTAGACACTAACCGCATTCTTGAAGGGGAATCCAAATCTTGTTGAATATTCATTTGTATGAAAGTAGAAAAGCAAGAGAAAAAGATTAGAAAAATAAATCGAATTAACTTCAAGGGAGTTATGAATGATTGAAATATGAGATCACTAAATATATGCCAATCTCCAATTGATTGTGACATAGTCATGGACAACTTTCCCGTTCGTCGTCGATAAAAATGGTTAATTTCTGTATATTTTAATTGCAATCTCCCTTGGGGCAGTAGGCAAAATATATTTCGGATAGCATATTATCATCGGTTCGCTCAAATGGAAAGGCCCTCCAGAGTCAAACTTTTGCAAAAATTGACATTTTAGTCATTTTGTGTGTTAAACAAAATTTCTTATTTTTTATCCGATTCCATTCGAACTTTCACTAGTCTGCTTCTCTGATATTACTGCTTTCTTTTAGAGTAGTTTTTTGTTGTTAATGATTGGGTTTTGTCTGTAACTGTAACAAACACTATACCTGACCCTAAATCTAATCCTAACCTTGCAGCCAATTGTAACTCTTACCCTAACCATAAACCTTGTTGATCAATATTGAGTTTTATCCCTTTTATAACTTATATCGCAGATTGTGGCAAAAACCTCTGTAAAAACGGCTGGTGTGAGGAGACTATGGTAGGCTACCACTGTCACTGCTCAAGTGGGTTTCAAGGGAGACACTGCGATGAACGTAGGTGTAATATCAACGTAGGCGTATCGGGGGAGGGGGAGGGGTGGCTAATTAATGAACAATGAGCATGAAGAGACTTTCTACAGGGGGTAAACGAAAATTCAGTAGTTGCAACTGAAGAAGAAGAAGAAGAAGAAGAAGGAAAAGATGATGTTTAAGAAGAAAATACCTCAGGGTCCTCTTTCGGAATTTGTTGATAGAATTGGGATTCCCACAGGTAAAATGTTTTCCGATTTCTATTTGCCCCCCCCCCCCCCCTCGCTTTGATCCTATCCCCGTACCCTGACTAAGAGCGCCTGGAGACATCCGGCGGGAAGATAATTTCAGAGTAAATATTATGCCTCGTCATCTACCCCATGGGCTTTTTCTTCTTCACAGAGTCAACGGAGGAAGCGACGAACAAACCTACGACGAGCCCTTCGACTACGATGACGGAACGCTCGGACACAACGACTTCTCAAAGCACCACTACCTCTGGTATGTCTAGGCAATAGCTTCATGGAAATGACGTCATGCATTTGATTTTTATCATAATGGGTCTAGCCACTATATCCCCTTTTTTCTCTCTCCCTCTCTCTCGGTCTTTATCTGATTTTATATACCTCACTTAAGAAATCCAGCCATCTGATTGGTCGAAATTGGAGTCGTGATTTTAGCCATTCCCGTAAAGAAACAAAAAAAATGCCAATACCGGTTAATAGTCCAAGTGTGAGATCCCTCAAAATTCCAGTTACCATGAAAATAGTAAAATTTTGCTGCCATACCCACTGTGGTTTAAGTGTTCAAATTTCCTTTGTGCGACACGGACACAGCTAAACAAAGATAAACAGACAGTTTCTCAGATTTTCTGTGATGTTTTAACCGATCTTTACTCAATAAAAGAATAAGGTAAGAATTCTTGGTAGATTTTTGTTTTAATTCAGCATAAAAGACATAACGACATAACGACTGCTTTAATATTCGAGGTCTGGCTGATGTAAAGGCTCTCGAGAGCTTGCACATCTTGAGCCTATTACACAGCCAGTTTAACGACTGAAGCAGTCGATATCTTTATACTTTTTTCGGTCCTTTCCGAGCGTCACTAAAACATCTTTTTAAGGAGGGGGGGGGGGGAGGGGGGAGTGACCGTCTAATTCTTATTTTTATAGTCTTATTTGTATTTGTCCTTCTTTCAGGAGCGTCGCTAAAACACTTTAGAAGGGGACAGTGTACGTTAATTATTTAAATATATATTTTGCCTATAAGTTTAACGACAACGTTCTTGATGCTGATTTGTTATCATTTCCTGACTCCGGCTCCCTTTTCCCCACTCAATTTAATACATTTGTTTCCATTTCGTTCACAATGGGAAGCGAAAACCAAGTCCGCGACGAGCCCAACGGTCACAATGCCGGAACGATCAGACGCAACGTCATCGCAAGAAACCACAACTTCCAGTAAGAGAAACATTAAAATGACGTCATGTGATTAATATCAATATGGCCCGAATTCAAGGAGGTTTGTCGACAAACCTCCTTTGTGAATTCGGGCCTCTAGGTTTAGCCACTATAGTCTCTCTCTCTCTCCTTTCTCTCTCTCTCTGTCTGTCTCTCTCTAGCTATCTCTCTCTCTATCTCTCTCTCTTTCTCTCTCTTTATATCTGTATATCTCAGTCTTTATCTGACTTTTTAAAAGTCCTTTCCTATCTCGCGCGTCGGTTAAACATTTGTTTAAGGGGTAAGTGACCGTCTAATTATTTTGTCCACGCGTTTATCAACAATTAGACACGCCATATCAATACATTTAGATAAATGATTCGGCAAAATAAGACCCTTTGACTTAGACCCACTAAACCCAATGTCCTGACACAAACTATACAGTCCTCATAAAATAAATAAACTGTTAACGTTTATTTTTAAAAAATGTTCTTCGTTTTGGCCTTCTATTCCTGTTGAGGTGTCATTCCTAATGTTATTACTTAAAACGTGTGGCTTCATTTTGTATAAACGTTTCAGATTCAGTGGAATCATCGACTACGGACGTGGCGACTAAGACATCTACGAGGCCTATGACCACGGTGTCAGACACAACGACATCGCCAGAAACCACCGCCTCCAGTAAGTAAGAGAAACAATGAAATGATGTCATGCTTTTGATCATTATTATAATGTGTCAAGCCACTCCCTTCGACCACTCCCTTCACCCCTCCCCCTTTCTCTCTTTCTTCTTCTCTCTTTCAATCTTTATCTTCTTCTATCCTCTTCGCGCGTTCTTTGTCTCTGTCTGTCTATATCCAAATCATTCCCTGACTCCGGCTCCCCCCACTCATTGAACAATGTTTTCTTTGTTTTTTATTCCGTTCAGATTCGGTGAAAACGGAAGCCAAAACCAAGTCCGAGCCGAGCCCTACGATCACGATGCCGGAACGATCAGAGGCAACGACATCGCAAGTAACCACAACCTCCAGTAAGAGAAACAACTTTCCCCCCCCCCCCTCTCTCTCTCTCCCACTCCACCTCTCTCTCTCTCTCTCTCTCTCTCTCCCTTTCTCTCTTTCCACTCCCCCTTCACCACCCTCACCCTTCATCGACCACTCCCTTCACCCCTCCCCCTTTTTCTCTTTCTTCTTCTCTCTTTCAGTCTTTATCTTCTTCTAAACTCTTCGCGCGTTCTTTGTCTCTGTCTGTCTTTATCCAAATCATTCCCTGACTCCGGCTCCCCCCACTCATTGAACAATTTTTTCTTTGTTTTTTATTCCGTTCAGATTCAGTGAAAACGGAAGCCAAAACCAAGTCCGAGCCGAGCCCTACGATCATGATGCCGGAACAATCAGAGGCAACGACATCGCAAGTAACCACTAACTCCAGTAAGAGAAACAACTCCCCCCCCCCTCTCTCTCTCTCTCTCTCTCTCCCACTCCACCCCTCTCTCTCTCTCTCTCTCTCTCTCTCTCTCTTCCTCTCTTTCTCTCTCTCAGTTTTTATCTCTATCCAGTCACGGGCGTCGCTAAAACCTTATTTAGGGGCAGGTAACCGTCTCATTCGTTCGCCCACGAGTTTAATGACAACAAACACATTTAGATAAATTATTCGGTAAAAATTTACTTGGGCTTTGACAAAGCACCACTTAATCTACAAACACAATTTATTTTTTGTCAGGGAGCAGAATTTTCTTCGTTTTGGTCCTCTACAATCATGTATAGGTTGTCATTCATAATCTCAGTGCTTTGTATTTTTGGTTTCATTTGTTACAACCTTCAAACGTTTCAGAGTCAGCAGAATTATCGACTACGGACGCGACGGGCAAGCCCATGACGAGCCCTACGACCACGATATCAGACACAACAACATCGCAAGACACCTTCACATCCAGTAAGTATGCTTTTGATCTTTAATATAATTTTTCTAGCCACTACCCCCTTCTCTCTCTTTCTCTCTCCTTCTCTCTCTCTCTCTCTCTCTCTTCCTCTCTCTATCCCGTCCCCTTCACCACCCGTCTCCTTCTACAGGCCACCAAACCTCCACCCTCCCCTTTTCTCTCTCTTCATCCCTCTTTTAGTCTTTATCTGACTCTAAGTAAGAGAAACAATGCAATAAATTCAGTGGTAGGTCTAGCAACTACTACTCGCCACTCTCTCTCTCTCTCTCTCTCTCTCTCTCCCCTCCCCCTCTCTCTCTCTCTCTCTCTCTCTCTCTCTCTCTTTCTCTTTTTCTCTCTCTCTATCTCCCTCCCTCCCTCCCTCCTCTCCTCCCCACCCCTCCTTTCCTCTCCTCTTTCATTCATAAACAAACAAAAAAATATATAAGAAATAAAATTGTGAATTTCCTAAAATTTGCAATGTAAGCTATAACCAGTTTTGGAAACGCCCCCTCTAAACAAAAATGTAATGGAAGCTCTTATTACCAATCATGTGAAAGAATAATGTTTGACTAAGTACGTGATGATACAAATTGTGCCGGTAATTTTACCAGTACGAAAAAGTCGACAATACAAGACGGTGGCCGGTACTGCAACTGAAGAAGAAGAAGAAGAAGAAGAAGAAGAAGAAGAAGAAGAAGAAGAAGAAGAAGAAGAAGAAGAAGAAGAAGAAGAAGAAGAAGAAGAAGAAGAAGAAGAAGATTAAGAAGAAGAAGAAGAAGAAGAAGAAGATGATGATGATGATGATGATGATAATGATTAAAAAGAAAATACCTCGCGGTCCTCTTTTCAAAATTTTTGATAGAATTGGGATTTTCACAGGAAAAGCATTTTCTGATTTCTATCCCCCCCCCCTCTTGATCCTATCCCCGTACCCTGACTAAGAAAATGTTTTCCCTCTCTTTCTCCCCCCCCCCCCCCTCAGCCTTTATGCTTTTCCTGTCACGGGCTTCGCTAAAAGGAGGAGGTACCCGTCTCGTTCGTTTGCCCACGAGTTTAATGACAACAAACACGCCACAGGAACACATTTAGATATATTAATTGGACAAAATTTACTTGGGCTTTGACAAAGCACCACTAAATCTACAAACACAAATAATACCTATTAAAAACAATAGACTGATACAATTTATATGTTGTCATGGAGCAAAACTTTCTTCGCTTTGGCCTTATATAATCATGTTTAGGTTGTCATTCATAATCTCATTGGTTTGTAAGTATGGTTTCATTTGCAACAACCTTCAAACTTTTCAGAATCAGCTACGGACGTGGCGACCAAGACGGCTACGAGGCCTATGACCACGGTGTCAGCCACAACGACATCGCCAAAAACCACCGCCTCCAGTAAGTAAGAGAGACAATGAAATGATGTCATGCTTTCGATCATTATTATAATGTGTCAAGCAACTACACCTTCCCTCTCTTACCTATCTCCCCCTCTTCCTCTTTCTCCCCTCCCTATTCACCGACCACCCCCTCCATCCCTCTTTCGTTCTCTCTTCATCTTTGTGTGTCAGTCGAGTGGTTTAAGCATTTGACTTGAAATTCAAAGGTCGTGGTTCAATCCCCGACACGGCATTAATGTCCTTTGGCAAGGCATCAATCTCCATTTGCCACACCCGACCCAGATGAGATAAATGGGAACCTAGTAAGAATTTATTCCTTGAAATAATAGAGCGCCGTAATGCCTAATGGCAACTAATCTTCCTTTGCCGCACTCGACCTAGGTGAGGTAAATGGGTACCTGGTAGGAATTAATTCCTTGAAATACTGGAGCGCCGTAATGGCAGCAAGGCTAAAGCCGGGTTAATTATTAGTGCGCCTCGGAATATAGTTGTCTAGATAGATGCTTTATAAATGCCTATTAATATTGTCACTCTTTCAGTCTTTATCTGAGTCTGAGTAATAGAAACAATACATTGACGTCATGCATTTGATCATTATTATAATGGGTCTTGCCACTACCACTTTCCCCTTCTCTCTATCTCTCTGTCTGTCTGTCTGCCTCTCTCACTCTCTCTTTCTCTCGCTCTCGCTCTCGCTCTCTCCCTTCCCTCCTCCTCCCCTATGTTTCATTCATAAAAACAAAAATAACTTTATAAAATACCATTGCTATCTGCGATGGTGAGCAAAGTTCCTGTAGGTATTGATTTTTATAGCTGTAATTTTGTTCATGTCTTTGCATCGACTTTTATTATTATTATTATTTTCGTCATCATCATCATCATTATCTATTTTTCTTTAAATATTTCAGTTTCTACCCAAATAACCACTTTGTCTACTTTCTTAAAATTGAGTAATTTACATATTGTATTTTCATCTTTTCAGCATGCTCATCCCCTCAGGTGGATTGTGAATTCGGCGGGTCGTTCTACAATTTCAGCACTAGCAAGATGAATCATGCTTCCGCGGTTTTAGCTTGTTCCCAATACGGATCCCATCTGGTCTTCATCGAGTCGCAAGTGGAACAGGACTTCATCGTGGGGCATGCTTATTACACCAAGCAAGACTCGAATAACTACTGGATCGGGCTGACCGGCTTAAGTCGCAGTGAGGCAAGGTGGCTAGACGGATCAACTCTTACATATAGCAATGTTAACGAATACTTGCCTGGATGGAAAGTAAAATGTTTTAAAATTACGTCCTGGCAACCATATAGTTGGATGAAAACGATTTGCTCCACACATTTAAGATTCATATGCGAGAAAGAAGTGGTGACATAACAAATGGAATTGTTTCTTTCAATTTGTCATAGCACCTGGTCGCAACACTGATTGCATTTGAATACCTAGATGGGGACAAGATAATCCCCCCCACCATGCACTGATTTTCATACGAAGAGCTGAACATGTTTTTAAATACGTGTTTATTTATGACGTTTAAAAGATGGAGCACATTTTATCTTTACATTCAAGCAATTTGAAAATAATCATATTGATGATTCGCATTTTAGTAGTGGCGTTTTGTTCTTTTTGTGTTTTATAGAATCTCATTTTATTGCCAAGAGACTTTGTTCAAACTTTGTTGTATAATATTAAGTAGTGCTTCATGAAATGATACAAAGTCAAAAATATTTGATTACAACATAAAAGTGCAGTTTGTGTAGTAGAGTATTTATAGGGTCTATAATACGAATATACATACCTGTATACATATACTTACTTATACATGTACATGTAAATACACATACACATATACATATGCATATACATATCTGTCTGTGGTCTCGAGTAATGAGCTTATACTTTAGATACGACTAGAACTAGTGGATAACGAAAACAAATATTGTAACGTCATTGTGTCAAAATACACGGCAGTTTATGACTTTAATTACTTAAGTTTTTAAGTTTTTAAGTTTCAAGTTTATTTTATTCTATAATTCACAATCATAACCTAAATAAATAGAATATACAATGAATAAATGCATTCCTTCGGTGAAAGCTACATACAATACATGACATCGTGTCGTTTAAGTAATTCAAGACAAAGTAAAAGAATAAAGAAAGAAAAAGTTAATATTTTATCTTCCAAACTTAAGGTAAAACAAATATGGTTTTGGTGCAAAATATGGGTACTTTAAAGTAAGATGCTCGGTTTATAATTTATTAATTATACACTGCGTCCCAGAAAAGACGAAACTCGAAAAGAAATAGATATTGTGAATATCTATGAGGGATATCATTAGATGTCTTGCTTCCACAGAGTAGAAGTAATATGCTTTCCAATTAAAAATTGATTACATTAATCTATACGCGCTTCACTGAGCGCGTATAGCGACATCGTTTTAAAATGCCATGTTAACATCCCCTTGCCCTAATTTCGGGTGAAAGAGTGAAATCGTTATAATCAAAATATCAAACACGAACATGACCGATCATGACCTGAAAGAAACACACATTTTAAAAGCGAATGAAAATATTATTTTAATGAGCCTTATTAATAATGAAGGCAAGATTAATACCATCTTTATCATGAAATAATGCATCGTGGAAATATCGTTAATGGTGAGGGTAAAAGGGCAAACTTTAGTTAGTGAATGGGTCTGCAATTGAATGAACAGGACTTATGCATTTTCAGAACTGCCTGAAGTTTTTTTAAAGAGCAAGTTAAAAGATATTTAAAAAACAAGAATCAAATTAATGGGCTGCTTACATTTTGATAATAACATTTATTGTATCGGTATTGCTGTTATTATTATTATTATTATTATTATTATTATTATTATTATCACCATTATCATTATCACTATCATTATTATTACTATTGCTATGACTATAACTATTATTTTACAAGTTAATCATTATATTTATTGTAAGTAAAGCCGATGTAAATATGCAAACTTAATACGATGGGAGTTGCCATATTACAGGATGATTCGTTTTCTAAAGTCATTGAAATAGTAGCATTAGTGATTAAATGTTTGTTTGACGTGCAATAATTAGTTTCAATTACCATCCTGTCAATTGTTTTTGTTTGGGTAAGAAGAAAGAGAGAGATACACACAGCACATAAGAAAGAGTGGAGAGGAGAAATTGAGACAAGTTGTAATGAAAGAGATGTATAATTCAGTGAAAAAACTCGAAAGGAAGAGATAAAGAGTGAGAGAACGTGAGAAGATATTGATATAAAGTGAGAAATGTTTGTCATGAAAGAGATGTATGATAGAGTGATTTAATTTGACAGGAAGACTCAGATAAAGATTGCAAGAATATAAGAAGGTGATGAAGAGAGAGAATTTGTGATTGAAAGGAAGTGAGATGATTTAAAGGAGAGGAAAACAAAAGAGTGAGAGAATGTGAGAAGATAATAAAGTAAGAGATTTTTAAGACATAGAAATTTAAAAAGGTAAATGGATTTGAATGGAAGAAATACAGATTGTAAACAGATTGGAAGAAGATGATAAAGGGAGAGACATTTTTTTTTTTTTTTTTTTTTACACAAGATTAAGTGGTATAAATGATTGAGAGAATTTGAATAGGCGTGGTGTATATATAGACTGAGATAATGTGCGGATATAAAAATGAAATTAAAGAACTTCTTTTATCACGTTATATACAACCCAGCATTGGGAAAGGGTAATTAGTATTTTCTACCATGAACGGAAAGAACAGATGAAAGAAGCTTATACCTACGATTAGTCTCACTGGACAGCGCCTCCTATTGGCGAAGTCCCACACCATAACGTGTTAGCCTACTGACTTGTACAAAACCAATCATTAATTTTATTTTTATATTTTTTTAAAACGAAAATCACATTAATTTCCTTTTAATTGGAAACTCAGCTTCGTCAAAATAGATCACCAGCTATATATTGCCATTAAAACGCTTGTGTGACAAGTTTAATGATATGAACATGTTTTGGGGGGTTAATATTCAAGATAATTCACATGAAGTGATGCATTCTCAAATTAATCACAATCAAGTGTCGTTTGCTACGTTCAAGGCACATATTTCTGGTTTGGACTGTGACGTAGACAGTCATAATGACTGTCTACGTCTACGTCCTTGTTTTCACGAAGTGACGGTAGTGAGGAAAATCGTCACGCAAAGTGAATGCATTTTTTGTCACTACCGTCACTTCGTGAAAACAGCGACAATGTTTAATTATTGTCACACACACACGCACACGCACGAACGCCCACACAAACACGAACCCCATACACGAACCCCACACGCACATAAGCACGAACTCACACACTGTCACTCACCCCTCACCTCGACACGCACCTTTTCCGCACACCCGATTGACACAAAAAGAGAAGTCAATAATCATTTTATTTTACAGTGGAGGTTATCAAACTGTTTTTTGCAACTTAATTGTTACCATACATAAGAGGTTAATGTAAATAATGCACGCTTTGACTAACATGAATCTATATAATCACATAAAAGAGCAAAGTATTTTATATAAATACAAAATCTTGCAAACAAAATATGTAACAATAGGGCAGATGTGTGGCACCCAAAATTCGGTAAACCAATTTATTTACTTAGGTATTCTTACATTTTTGGGCAAATAAATAAAATAGGTACAAGCAATAATTGATTGTACCAAAAAACTTGAATTAAGTAAATACTGAAATAATGGTGTCCCCTCGTTTACATAGCATCAAGGCAGACATCGTTGTATATACCACCTAAACTTCACTTTCTATGATGTTGATAAAATGATACATTTTGTGATTTTTGGTTGAAGATTCAAAAACTACATTCTTCTTCTTCAATTACCATTGAACAAAAATGACGCATTGATCCAGCCGTTGCAGCGTAATTAAACACATACCACATATAAAATATAAGTGTCGATGTTAATAATTATCCAAGAAAAACAAAATTAAGGCGAGTAGGTATATTTAAAGTACATATAAATAATATTTAAAATAGCTTACATTCATAATGCGTCTAATACTTTGTTTCTAGGCGCATTACACATTATTACCCTAGTCATCGGATTCAGTCTTACCCGCACACAATGCATGCAGATTCTCCACTCCCTTGGGAGCATTACGGCCAGGCGTCATTTTGACAAACGCACACTTGCTCATCTTAGGGTACGTTTATGCTCAGCTTTTTCTGGCCAGAATGAGGCATCTGTTATGCGTTTAGTTCAAAACACGGTTGCGTCCTTTCTCATTTTTGTAGATTCACCGAAAAACGGCGATCGTAATCGCCGATCGTAAACTCACAAAAAGGTGCGTTTACGATCGGTACGATGATTCTGCAAAATCAGCGATTTTGGGGAAGCATAAACGCGTTTGAATAAGGTAAACGCACTGATCTCTAGTGGGTCTACGTAGCATGCGCAGTGCAGGTTTGCGAATCCAGCTGCAAGGCCACCCAGCCAGAATTGCCTGGAGGAGCCAAATAAGTGAGCATAAACAGTACACCGTGGAAATGCGATTACGATGAGCGTTTACGATGAGCGTTTCAAATCGCTCATTCTGCCTTCAAAACTGAGCATAAACGTATCCTAACCACATTAAAGGTAAAGACCAGTATTGGAAACGCCCCAATTTCAACAAATGAAATGGAAGCTCTTATTACCAATCATGTGAAAGAATATGTTTTGACTAATACATAATGATAAAATATTTGCCGGGGAAACCGCCTACTAATTCATATATTTGGTAAATTTGTTTCTCTCATGGACTGTGAGAGATATAGGATAGTTCCATAAACATCTTTCTGTGTATAGTGCTTGTAACTTTACGAAGAATGGGCCAAATTTCTTATCATTTTGATGATTCCAGAACCTTGCAGATGCTAGATGCTAGATGATCAACCTTTTCTGATCGATTCCACAACGTTTCTTTCACAATGCAATCGCATGAACATAACTGGTCTTTATCTTTAAGTTTCGCATTCTACCGGGTACCCATTGAACACCTGGGTGGAGAGTGGCAAATGTAGATTAACGTCTTGCCAAAGGACATTAGTGCCGTGTCGGGGATCGAACAATACAATTACACGAAAGTGTCCACTGTATTCTACATATTACAAAGAACAACATTATTTTAGAGTCATACAACTCGGTGTATGTAAAACGATAC